AAGTAGGTATTGATGATCCTCTGGATTTCTGCTGGGTCTGTTGCAATTTTATCCTTTTCATTTCTAATTGCATCGATTTGGGCCTTTGCTTCCCTTTTTCTGATAAGATCAGTTAAGGGTTTGTCTAATTTTATTTATTCTTTTGAAGAACCAACTCTTGGCTTCATTGATTTTTTTGTATCCTTCTCTTAATCTCCATTGCATTGATTTCTGCTCTGATCTTTCTAATTTCCTCCCTTGTATGAGTTTTGGGTTTGTCCTGCTCTTTTCTTGAAGCTTGGTGTTCAGTGTCAGCTTGTTTAATTGGGCTTGTTATGTTTACCTAATATGCGTATTCACTGCTATGAATTTCCCTCGTAAGACTGCTTTCATTGTGTCCCATGGATTCTGATATGTTGTATTATCATTGTCATTTAATTGAAGGAACTGTCTGATTTCTTCTTTGATTTCTGTTTTGACCCATTGGCTATTCAGAAGTGTGTTGTTTAATTTCCATGTGTTTATGAAATTCTTATAGTTTCTTTTGCTGTTGATCTCCAATTTCATCACACTATGGTCTGATAATATACAGGGGATAACTTCAATTCCTTTGCACTTACTTAAACATGTTCTATGAGCGAGTATGTGGTCTATTTTGGAGAAGGATCCTTGTGCAGCTGAAAGAATGTGTATTCTGATTTTGTGGGATGGAACAGTCTGTAAACATCTGTTAAGTTCATCTGTTCAAGAGTTTGATTGAGTTCTAGTATTTTGTTGCTTATTTTTTGTCTAGTTGATCTATTTGTGACAGTGGGGTATTGAGGCTCCCCAGTACTATTAGTGCTTATATGATTTTTTTATGTCTGTTAATATTTGTTTTATATAGTTGGGCACACTAGTGTTTGGTGCTTATTTGTTTATGATTGTCATCTCTTCCTCTTGGATTGTTCCCTTTACAAGGATGTAGTATCCTTCTTTGTTTCTCTTAATCAGTGTTGGTTTGAAATCCACTTGATCAGCAAAGAGGATAGCTACTCCTGCTTTTTTTCAGGTTCCTGTCTCATGGAGTATTGTTTTCCACCCTTTAACTTTCAGTCTATGAGTTTCTTTTTGAA